CATTACACCCCCCCGCCCCTGCAATGCTGCCTTCCCAAGGGCCCTGCACACATGTGCATATGTATGTACACATGTGTACATGTGCACATGTATGTACACATGTGTGCAAATGTACATGCATGTGTATGCATGTAGACATGCACAAACTTATTAACACTTGTACATGTATGAAAACATTAATATAAATGGTTTGATACTCATGATAACCTTGTTTCTGGATTGGTTCATGTTCCCAAAAATCACATTTTTCTACTCTTTGGAGGGGTGACTTTTTAAGATTTGTTATAACTTGGGAACCAGTCGTCATTTCCTCATTTGAAAGAGAAATGAATGTTTCTGTGGTAAGTAGATGATAAAAACTGACTGAAGGAATTGAACAGAAAATGAACTGAAACATCTCCCGTACCGCTATTCGCGAATAATTCTTATTCGATTGACGTGAGCTTTTTTTTTTATTTTGGTCCCGATTTTTTTGTCAAATTTTTGAAAATCAGAGAAAAATCGAAATTTTGATTTTTTTTTTTTTTTAGAAAATTAAGGAAAATTTCGAGAAAAAGCTCACATCAATTTGCAAGAGACGTATGTGGAAAAAAAAAATTTTGAGAGGGGTATCGACCCTCTTCGAGGAATTTCCACAAATTTTGTACTAAAGATGTGGAATGCTATATTGAACAAAATAGCCAAAGTCGATAAGACCGTTTTGATTTTATTAATATTTAAGAAACTTACCCCCCTTCACCCCCACATTTTAACGCTACCACCACCCCTTAACCCATGATCACATTGATATTCTTTTCTCATTCTTCACAAAACACAAAACTACGACAAAATAAAGGAAACTATCTTTGTGCTCGTGCTACTACGTAGTCAATCTTGGGTATGTTTGGGCTGGCATGGAAGCTGTTTCCGCAGTTGAAACACTACGTCTGGCAGGGCGGACGGAAATGGGTCGGGGCCCGCGCGTAAAGAAAGCCAATGGAAACTCGCATTAATAAGATGATGATTACTTTGACAATACGTTACTGTTACTACTGGCATCATCTTGACCATATTCATCATTTATCATTTTATTATAATAAATCACCTCTATCAATGACATCGTCATTTCGTTGCGATTATTGTCAAAGAGTTCACACGATACCATCCATTCTCTCCGAACCTCTCGCAACCATGTTCAAAATTTTCAATTTTCATAGATATATTTTCCAGTCAGATGTGTTGTTTCCGGAAACATTGAACGCTTTGTGCTTTGTAAACACAATTGGGACGCCTCAAAAGAAGGGTATGTAATATGAATAGCTTCGCATGAGCGATCATTGGTATCGACGGATTCCTCTCACCTTCTAATAACCTAATATATAGAAAGTATACCGCGGACCCCCCCCCAAAAAAAAAAAAAAATGGTCCGGGTAGCAGGGAGGACATGAATTATATTAGGGAAATTGCATGGTAGAATATGAATAATATACAGAAAATTGGTCAATATATTGTCAAATGCAGGGGCCATAGATGGCGTTTGCTCCCCCCTCCCCCTGGACAGCAAAGAATCCATCATATATGTAAGGCTGATATAGTTTCGGGCTTTCCCGCTTACCTGTCGTATGCTCAACCCTGCCGCGTAAACTAGTGTTGCCACATGTCCGGTTATCGTCCGGACAGTCCGGTTTTAACGTTTAATGTCCGGCGTCCGGCAGAGACCCTGAACCGGACCATAGAATGTCCGGTTTTGGTGAAAGTCTCAAAATGAATGCCCCTCCCTAACATTAGATGGCTATTGTGTCACAAACAGCCGGACGTTGCTATCTTAACAGACAAGCATGGTGGCACGCACGTGAGAGAGACGAGTTACGAAAAGTAAAAACCGCAGTCTAGTGATTGTTCATATAACATTTTTCTCTATTATTAACATAATATGCAGTGCAGTAGGATAAAACAGTCTATACTATACTATAGTCCAAATAAAGCAGTTTGTTTTTAAAGTCCAATGAGGCAAAAGATTTGCTACGGTGTGTTAAATCTGACACCAAATACAAGTTGAGGCGTCTAATAAAGTTCTTGGGTTTATGTTTTTGTGTTATTCACGTTTTTAGTGAGCATGATCTTCTTCAAATATATACAATAACTGATAGTTAAGCTTCACACAAAAATATTGCTCTGTCCAAATGCAAATGCCGGTTCCCAGCATCACGGGTTGATCCGACGGGGGAGGAGGGAGTCCGGGGCCCCAGCCGATATGTCCGGTTTTCGCGTCATACAAATCTGGCAACACTAGTGTATACGTAGAGGATTTTTTGTCTTCCATTACGCAACCGTTATTAATTAATGCAGCCCCCTGCATTAGACAATATAGTAACTGATTAGTTGTATATCATTCATATTTCCCTGATATTTTTCATGCTCTCCCTGTTATCGGGGCCAGGGGAAGGGGGTCCGCAACATAATTTTTATTTATTTGTGTAGAGAGTGATAGGGGGCCATCAATATCCAAATCGTCACGATCGGTTAAGCTAAGGTATTCCGATTTATTACCAAAGAAAATTGTGTGAGAGATTAACAAATATGAGGGAGTGTGGTTGAAATTTGTTTCATTTTCATTTTCTTTGCATATGACAAACATGCTTATGGCTTTTGGCTCAAGAACTTGACAAACATGGATTCGGCCAACAGACAAACATGCTGGTCGCAGGTAACTGCAGATAGATACTGTGTCTGGAATTCCAATATACACGAATTTTCGATATCAGTTTAAGAACCACACACACACACACACACACACACACACACACATATATATATATATATATATATATATATATATATATATATATATCCCAATGGTGCCGGGGAAAATGAACAAAAAATGGGGAAAATATTGTGCCCACTTTCTATGTTTTTCGTGAAATGTCTGCCGATAGATGGCTCTGCTAGCGCCTGATTTAAATGGCGGGAAAAAACGTATTTTTCACTAGTGCTATGAAAATCGATGGTGTTATTTTTATTATAAACATAATTTTTTTTAACATTAGTAACAGCAAAATAAGATTACGTAGAATATTTTGTAAATAAAAGAAACGGGTAAACGGGCGAGACGGATGGTGCTCGTAACTGGCTCATTGGGGAGTTAGTACAAGTGTTGCCATCTATGCGTAAAAACAATCAAACAAGTACTCACTGTGGGCATAGCACATACGTACACGTCATACCCGGCACCAAGGGGATATATATATATATATATATATATATATATATATATATATATACATATATATATATATATATATAGAGAGAGAGAGAGAGAGAGAGAGAGAGAGAGAGTGGGGGGCTTTATCTACAGTGTCCTTATCTGCAACTTCTTGCTAGTTATTTTTTTTGCTGCCGAATTCCAAGTGATTTCAAATTTAAGCTCTGCCCACACAGGCGTGAGCCAACCTATCCATTCACATGCGCGACCCATCGCTGAATAGGTAAAATGCCATTTTTTTTCTTGCATTTTATTTATTACTTCTTCATTTGGTGAATTAAGGAGTATTTTAGAGATATTTTATATTGAAACATGTGTGAAAATAGTTTAAGATTATACAGGAAGGCATAACGTTTATATTCAGGTTCAAAAGAGTTAATCAAACGTAATATATAGCATCGAAGGCAGCATTGATAAATGGGAAGATAAATAATCGTTTGAATTTATTTACGTGACTTTAAACTTTAAACTCACAAGGTACTGTTTATGATTATTATTATTATTTCTAATGTGAAACAAGGGTTTACATGAATAATAGATATACTACTGTGTTTTGGAGATTTGTCAAAAGGCATATAGATGAATAAACAATGTCGAATTACAGAGTCACAGCAGGGCAATACATTTGAATGTTTGAATACTAAAACAAATACTAAAAAGTTACCGTTTCTTTTGTTTTCCATATAGATCATACAAATGATGTTTGTTAATAATGCTAAGTATAACAATATGACAATGATAATGATATAATAATAATGATAGCCATAATGGTAATAGAAATGATGATGATGATGATAGTAATAAAAATAAAAATGATAATAATAATAATAATAATAATAACAGTGGCGTTGTTAGACCCATTTTAGGGGGCATCAGCCCCCCTAAAATAGTCCTCAACCTCCCTATAATTTTGGGAATATTTTGGAATTTTATATATTTTTTAAATATACATTTAAAACAAGCGCAGACATACACTGAACACGAATCAGCAAAAAAACGAATGAAACTGATATTTAACTGATAAATACACGTTTTAGTTTGTATTAATTAAATAAAATTAATATCGTTATGATTTCCATGCCTCATTGGCTACACTAGTGTCACGTGATTGGCACCGCGGGCATGTTGCTTTGCTGGACCAAGTTGGAGGCTGTCGCACAGCATTGCGAGTGACGTTGGCTGCAGCTAGATGGATATAAGATTTTTTAAGAGAGTGAGTGGGGAGCGGGAGGAGACACACAAAGCTGATGCTGAGGAGGTCTCGACTGAGGTCAGTAGATCCACAGAGAACACTGTGTTTTGGCTGCGCCATAATGTAACGAGTTAAAGACGTTGCATAGGCTATGTCACATACCGTATGAGAAGTTACAATCTGTTATGGTCGCTGAACTGGGCTTTGCAACAGGCATCTGAGTTCGTTTAATTTTGTTGCCTGTGTCAGTGTCAGAAATGTCACACTATCAGCATTAAATGCATGTTAAGAGACAACACAGCACCAATCCCCACTAATGACGAGTGAAAAGTATAAAAGAATGTAATCACCGTAGTCTATGTACAGTATATGACCAAGCTTGGATGAGAACACAAAACAAAGTGATGACCCGTGTACTATGCATCCCAAACTCAACTCGGGTGTTTTTCCCCTTAGCAGGTGTCTTATTGATGTCTTTATACTCTTATTTCATATTTCTTTCTGGTCAAGCTCTCTGTAGACCTAGCCAATAGCATAAAACTAAATAGTTGCATGTGATGCAAAGATATGCCAGGTTACATACATTGCACAACAAATTATTTAATTAATCAATTACAAAATAAGCTAATTTCATTAGAACAGTCATAAACTAGCCTTTATGCTTTAGTAATAGTAAGATATAATATTTAATTGATATGATATAAATTAAACCTCAGGGTTTCATCATGATTTTTTGAACTCCTTGAAGGGTGAGACAGAAAGAGAGTCTGAGGATGAGAGTGATCATCAGGCAAGTACAAGTCAGACTGAGGAAGTGAATCCAGTTTCAGAGGTGGTCGAGCAAATAGATCTGCAGAGAGAAGTAGAAGAAACTGAGACAGAGGCAGGAGGTGAACAAGCAAGCCATGAGGAAGAAAAGGATCAAGAAGCTGCCGCTCCTCTTTGTGATTTAGGTGATAAAGACACAGGGCCCAGACAGGTGAAGCTGAATAGCTATCCAGAAGACAGCTTTGGTACACAGAAAAGTGCATTTCACCACAGCTGGTTTGCTAAGTACACTTGGTTGAAGTATTCAGTCAACCTCAACGCTGCTTTCTGCTTCCCATGTAGAGTGTTTGGCAAAAACATTAAACATGATGCTTTGGTTAGCAGTGGTTGTAGAAATTGGGAAAAAGCTTTGTCTGTCTTTAGTAAGCATGACATGACACAGTCCCATAAGGACAGTGTTGTTGCATGGAAGGGCTACCAGGCAACGAGCCAACAGGGAGATGTTGTTCAGATGATGATGTCTGCAAATGCACATGAGATAGTGGCGAGAAGGGACTATCTGAAGCGAATTGTTGCAGTCACCTCTATGTTAGGGGCCCAGGGACTACCCTTTCGTGGGCATGAGGAAAGTGCAGAGAGCACAAGCAGAGGCAACTTTCTGGCTTGCATGGAGCTTTTGATGACATTTGATCCATTCCTTCAAAATCACAATCCTCCATCAAATGCCACGTACACCTTACCAGTGTCTCAGAATGAGATGGTTGAGTGCTGTGCTCAGGAAGTGACCAGTGTCATTGTGTTTGAGATCACACCCTCCAAAATGTATTCCATCATGGCGGATGAGGCAAGAGATGGTCGGTCAGAGCAGCTGGCTGTTTGTGTTAGGTATGTGTCAGAGGGGGAGGTAAAGGAACGGTTTCTAGCACTTTCAGAACTGATGTCCTTTGATGCCCAGTCCATTGCAGACAAGCTACAGGAGCAGCTCCAGATCAATGGCCTTGCTCATGTCAAGTGTGTGGCACAGACTTATGATGGTGCCGCGGTCATGAGTGGACCCATAGGAGGCGTGCAGGCACGTTTTAGAAGGCTTCATCCTGAAGCTATCTATATACACTGCTATGCGCATGAGCTCAACCTAGTGTTGTGCCACACTTGCAAGGCTGTTACGGAGGCTGTGGAGCTATTTGCTTTGTTGGAGAGTGTGTATTCTTTTTTCACCACCTCTCTAGTGAATCACCATTCAAAGTTCAAAGATGCTCAGTCCAGGCTTGGGTTGGCAGCAGTAGAGCTTGTGCAACTTTCCAACACACGTTGGGCATGTCGGCTGCAATCAATCAATGCAGTGCTTCAGACCTTACCTGCCATATTTGAATGCCTCTCTGCCACTGGGTCTCCCTTGGCTATTGGAATCAAAGCAAAGCTATCAATGTTCTCAACCATCTATGCTCTCTTGATGTTTCAGACACTTCTGTCCATCACTGAAGGACTCCACAAACTCCTTCAGAAGGAGACATTAGACCTGGCAGAAGCTCTGATTTGCAAAGATGCTGTGTGTGATACTCTCAAAGGTAAACGCACAGATGCATTTGCCACCGAAATGTTTGAGAGAGCCAAGGCACTCTGCCTCACACACATCATTCCAGAACTACATGCCGAGAAAAGGCAGAAAGAGAGAAAAATGGAAGATTTTTTGTGTGAGACAGTTAGTGAGTTCGGAGGTCCTGAAAACAGAGTTGTTTTTCCCCTGTTTGGTTGCTGAGCTTGACGAAAGATTTGCCAGTGTAGATACAGAACTCCTAAAAGGCATACAGGCATGCAGCCCTAAATCTGAGACCTTCTTGAATGAAGTGAACCTGAAAGAACTTGCTGGGCACTATATCACTGACCTGAAAACAGGGCAGGTCCTTGTTGCCAGAAACTTCATTGCTCGCAAAGCAGATGCTGGGAATCCATCCCAAGACATGCTAGCTGTGTACAACCTTCTATACACAGACATGTTTCCCTCTCTGAAAGAGGTCCTCCAAGTTGCTCTGACTGTGCCTGTAAGTAGCTGCTCATGTGAAAGGTCCTTCAGTGCACTGCGTCGGTTGCACACATGGCTACGTCAAACAACGGGGCAGAGAAGGCTCCATAACCTCGCAGTCATGGCTATTGAAAATGGCATACTAAGTCAGCTGAGTGACAGCAAAGTCATAGACCGTTTTGCCACTCTGAAAAACAGAAGGCACTCTTTGATGCTTCCACCCACAAAGTAGAGAGAAAGTTTGGCCAAAGCCGTTCAACTGGGCATACTGACCCATGTCACAACAGTGATGGCAATGGGTAGTTGAGTGTCTGTATTACTCAGGAAGTTCTACTACCTCCTGGATAGTTTTCATTTACAGTTATTTTGTCTTTTAATTGTTGATTTAACACCTATGTTCCATTTCACATCCCTGCTATTTACGTTAAGACAGTTAAAGCTTGTATACTGTGAAAAAATCTCAAGGATATCCTTATTTGTTATGATGATGTTGTACTGTCCATATATAACCACTTATATTTTGGATTAAACTTTGGAGTCTAAGGCAAAATGCATCATAGTCTAAGTCAGTTTTATTGTCACTTTATTCACATACTAGACATGCAAATGAATCAAAATTACGTTTCTCACTGTCCCATGTGTGAACGAAGACAGGACAAACAATAAAGTACAGGACAAGACAGCATGAAGTACTGTAAGTGTAACAAGTAACATTATTGTAACTATGCCTAAGCATCATAGTAAATAAATAAAGTTCAACAAAATTAAAGTGTACAGTACATTGTAGTCAGATCAGATCAATAGCATCGAAAAAAGCAGATGGTGGAAGAGAGTTCAACAAGCATTGACTACGGCCCTTCTGGGGCTAGGCCCCCCCTATCTCTGAATCCTAGTGACGCCCCTGAAAAATAATAATAATAACAACAACAATATTAATGATAGCAGCAGTAGTAGTAAAAATATCTAATATATGAATAGTTTTATTTTTCTAGAACCAGTTTCCATTTTCAAACCCATCAGGTATCATTCCTATCGATATCTACTAACTTAATGTAACAGAAATTGATGGTGACATAATTGATAACACGATATAAATGGAGGCCTACTATTTTTATTATAATTATTATAATCCCTGCCATTGCCATTGATATTACCATTGTCATTGTCATTATTACTATTATATTATCATTACCATTATAATGGTCAAGATTACCATCATATGAATAATAACTTAAGCTATGATATAGAATGGTAATAGTGTGGAAATGCAAATGCACTAAAATATTTGTATTTATAGCCCGTAATTTTAGCATGTGATGTGACATCAGATAAAAAAATAATAATAATAAAAACTCGTGCTACGGCACCCTTCGTGTGTTAGATTGCTAGTCTTTTTCAAGCGGCAAGACACTTTGACCCAATATGTTTTCTTACGCCCGACAACGTTAATGCTTCGCCCACAGGCGATGTAGACAAAGCCTTTCTATCCTATTATTCGATTTCACAATTTTTCAGGGGTTCAAATTCTACTTTTACATGTCGACAACAATATCGAGCATTACTGTTAACACAAGAGTTAAGCTATTAAACTTACAATGATGTCATTCGAAGTGATGGAAAGTTGACTCGCAATGTTTTTGCGTTATTGGGAAACAGGTGAAAGAAACCAAGAGGGGTTGGGTATTATTAGTACACTGTTACTATTATCTCTCCAGTGAAAAGAAATAGAAGTATTATGATTTGATAATAACGATAAGAAAATATGTATGGTGGTGTTCATAGTAGATATGAAAAACAATGATGAACCAAACACTATATACGTCTGTGATAGTACTTGAAAGGGTTTTAGGCTCGTCGTCCCTCCATGTTATTGCGAGCGCAGTGTCGGGGCGAGCGAGGCCTCACCCACCTCTCCCGCTTATTATAACCTCAACAGCCGCTTATGACCTGGGTTTTGTTAAAGACAGTGGGATTATGCATATCAGAGGCCTTTCTTCCTGCTCAAGGTTGGTTTAGCTTTGTTTTTGAAGGGCGAGAAGTGAGACTTTGGAGTAGTTGGTGGGTAAATCAGGCTGGAGAAGCCCTTAAGACTATTATTTTTATTTGTGTTATATACAAGAAAGTTTGGTTGGTGTGAGCAGAGAATATTTAGAATTGTATTTTACTAACTGAATTTACTTTGAGTATTTGTGCATTCACGTTGGGAGGTTAATCATGTTTATATATATATATATATATATATATATATATATATATATATATATATATATATATATATATATATATATATATATATATATATATGTATTTACAAAATACTTTTTCTAAAAGTTTTTATTTAATGTTCTTCTATTTATTGTCAGACTGAGATTCTTAATAATGACAGTGAGGCTTTCATAGTACATAGAATTTGGAAACAATAAACTAATGGGTTAATATTACTGAGAGCAGTTCACAGAGATAGAGGGAAATGGACACTATCATCTTATAGAGCATAAAAAATAGAATAATAAACAACACGGGTACAGCTGGAGTGGTGTCATATTTAAGTGAAATGACAGAGAGACAGCAAGAGTTCTTAATGTCATGTTTTCTTGGAGTAGGCACGAAGTGCTAATAAAGGGGGGGTACAGAGCGTTTGTCCCCTGTCTAGGGAATAAATAGAAGGTAGGAAAGGTTAGGTTTGGATTTTGTGTTTGCAAGATAGCCTAGTTTTGGGATTTCATCTTAGCAGGGTGCGTCACTCTTGGTATCAAATACCGACGAATTAAATTCA